GACAGACACGGAGTGCTCAGTGAGTACTGGGAGAAGAAGGAATGGGTGGGTGCTGGCAGGACTCTGGCAGGCATGGATATTGGGAAGGCCTGGTGACGGGGCCCCAGAGAGCTCAAAGAGTGTGCAGGGAGGCTGGGAGGCAGAGAGGTGACGTGGAGGCCTGACCCAGGCACCGTCCACCTTGCAGTTTTCCTCGTGGGAGTGGACTGGCTTACACTCCCCGAGCTGCCTCCTTTCTCTAAGGCACAGGATTCCTCTCTCGGGAGCCCCTCCCTGTCCCTGCAGTGGCCAGTGCCCTTTTCCAGAGTCCATGCCTCTCCTGGTGCCTGGAGACCTGGTGGCCATTAGCCCTTCTCATGCCTGTTCTGGATTGGGTTGATGCAAGGCTGGCAAGGCCTCAGTCAGCAACCTTCCCAGGGGTGGGTCGAGGTGCGTGTGGTTGGTAGAAGTTGCATTGGCAATGGTGGATGGGGCTGGCTAGTGTGTACAGGGAGCTTGCTGGGAGGACCTGGGACAAAGTCCAGAGCTATGTGGGAGCCAAGGGATTCCAGAGGGGCTCACCGAGGGATTCCAGAGGGGCTCACCGAAGGATTCCAGAGGGGCTCACCAAGGGATTCCAGAGGGGCTCACCAAGGGATTCCTAGAGGGGCCTAGTACGGGAAGCTCTAGCTCTGTTCGTTGTCTACCTTCTTGGGGAATTCTCTCTTCCTGCACAGCAGCAGCAGACAGTTGTTTGTTTTTGGGGGCTGGGCAGGGTTGTGGGGTAGGGTGGCATTACAAATTCAGTTTCTTGCAGGGAGAAAAGGACTTTGTGGGAGAAGTGGGCTTCTAGAAGTGGACCCCATTCCTGGAGAGTGGCAAGAGGGCTGCAGCTTGTGCTTCCCGCCGTTGCTCTGCCTCCAGCCCCCACCACAAGCACATCTGGACAGGAGCTTCAGGAAGAGGAGGCTGAGAGTTAACCTCTTCAGCCAACTGGGAGCAGGTGGTGGTAGCCGAGGGCTGTGATCCCTCGGGAACACTGCCTTCAGACGGCATCACTGATTTCAGGTGTGAGGAGCCAGCCACTGGCAGTGAGCTTAAACTCTCTCTCTGATGGCTCAGTCCCATCAGGGCCTGCGGGAACAGAAGGCAGCAATGTAGCAGTGGAAGGTGCAGAGGCGCTCTGAGGGCTTGTGTGCTCCATGTGTGCATGTTCGTGTGTACTTGTGGCTCCTAAGGCACTTGCCACCTGCCCCTGTCATCTCCTATTCCCTGAAGAAAGGTTTTAGGTAGAGGGAGCTCAGGGAAGGGACTGAAGGTGACTTTTTCCCCAGTCTGAGAGGACTGGCCATGCTGGCATGAGGCATAAGGTTCCTGGGGCCACATGGGTGGCCATACCAGACCCATGGACTCATGCCAGCCCTCATGGTGCACGTGCAGCACGGTATGCTCTGTAGACCTGGCCAGTCTCTGCCATTTTAAAGACAAATGTTGACCTTAGAAGGTGCTAGAAGGAGCAGAAGCTTGTAGATGACAGGTCTCAGGGTCCTACCTTCATGCCCGTCCTATAGCTGTGCTTGGATCTGGGTCACAGCCAAGGCCATGGGCAGGGAGAACCACTGGTTTCCTAAGGAGGGGACAGGGCTGCAGAAGTTGCCTATGGACACGTGGCCTTGCCCTGTGGCTGCCTAGCACTGAGCCCTGTGCAGACAGTGCCTGAGCCAAGCCGTGACAGGGTGACTTTTTAAGGTAAAAGTGTTGCTGTTTCACTTAACATTTTCATAAGCTATACCAGATACAATACATCCAATGACCTTGGTCTATCAGTTTGTTATTGCTGGGAAACAAACCATCCCAAAACTTAGTGGCTTAGAACAGCAGTCATTTATTATTTTTTATGAGTCTATAGGTCAACCCGGCAGTTCTGCTGTGGGCTCGCTCGTGCGTCTGAGTTTGGCTGGCTTGCGGCTGGGGATGGCTGCCTGGGAGCCTGCCTGACTCTCCTCTGTGTGTCTCACATTCCTCCAGCAGCTGGCGTGGGCATGTTCTCATGGTGACGTGGTCCAAGAGTAGAAATGGAAAGGCGCAAACACTTATTCAAACCTCTGTTTGCATCAAGTTTACTACTGTCCCATAGTCCATGCAGGCCACTTGGCCACGGCTGGAGCTAGAGCTGGAGCTGGGGGAGTCCTCACAGTGAGAGAACAAAAAACCTGGGATTGGGAGCCTTTGCCAGGGGCCTGAAGGCAGCTAGCCCCCCATATTTAGGAATATCAGTTTGCACCACACTGGTGAAAGCCAGTTTCTCCAGGCAGTACCAGGCAATAGGACTTTCTGTGATGATCCATCTCATATGATCTATATCTGTGCTGTCCAACATGGTAGTCACCAGCCAGATGTGGCTGTTGAGTACTTGAAATGTAGCTAGTGGACCTGAGGAGCTGAGTATACAATTGTGTTTCTCTTCAATTAATTGAAGTTTTAATAGCCATATATGGCTGGAGGTTGTGTTGTGTACAGCCCAGATCCAGGGGGAAAACCCTCAATGGAAAGCTGTTATGTCCCCAGCATAGCAGCCCACTGCTGCTTTTGGTGTGGGTGGCTGCTGGGTGCTGAGATGTTCTCCAGCTTATGATGGGCAGATTTATACCGTGCTGTGCTCCAGAGAGGGCAGGCCTAGGGCTGACATCAGCACTGGTGTTGTTGATTAGGGGCTCCTGAACTACCTCTGCACACTTGCCCTGTCCCTTCCTCTGATGGGTTAAGAAGAGGTCTTTATCTTCCTCACCTTTTCTTTCAAGAAGCTTTGGAGCTACAGATCCTCAGGACCCTGAGCAGGCTGATGGAGAATGAATTGCTTCTCTGGGAATGCCCAGGGTGTTGACAGCCTGAGGCTTGTGTGTTGGAGGCCTGGAGCCCTGCGGCAAGTGTCAGGCACTGTGTTGTCCTCAGTTGGCTACCTTCTCCTCACTTTGGGGGAGCCCTGTGCTGGCCACCTCATCCCAGACCTGGGTCTGGCTCTCCTTCCTGTCTGACACAGTGGGCAGAGCAACACTGAGACCCCTGTGCTTTGCGAAGCCAGTGGGTTTGTTCACATGGCTGTGCTCCAGGGACCAGGTTGCTGATGGACAAGGGGCAGCTGAGGCCATGGCTGCACGGTCACAAATTTGCCATTTCTAGAGGGCTCTCAGTGTTCTCATTTAGATGCTGCTGTGCCCTCCCCATGCACCACCAGGAGGTGGGCTCCCTGGACTCCCAGGTGCAGGCTCCTGAGATACAAGCAGGTAGCCTGCATGGGAAGTGTGGTTCTTCAGAGTCCCAAAATGGTAGTTGATTTTCATCTGTTTTACAGAGAGCCCCTGAGGCTCAAAGGGGATGATGATTTGCCTGAGGGCTTCAGGGACTGTTCTGAGCCCTAAGTGTTAGGGGTCCTGGCAGCTGCTTAGGTCCTAGTCCAGGGCTTTCCCCCTGTGGTGGGAAGGGGGCCCTGTGCACAGCCCCCAGCACCCTCATCACGACGGCCATGGTGCTCTGCTCTCCTCCCTTGCACTGTTTGGTTCCCCGTGATGGCTCCTGTCACACAGTCCAGCTGGTACTGTACTTAGTGGTGAACCAGTCCTCTAGGCACAAGTGGGGAGCATGAGGCTCCTGCAGCACCTTGCATGGCACTTGGCACAAGTATAGATCAGGAAGGGTGTGAAATGAGCAGAGAGAGAGTTCTGGAGAGGAATTGGTTAGGAACAAAATCTAGTCAAACTAATACTGTTTATTTGGATTTCAATCTTGGTGACTGCATGGGCCAGGCCGTGCCTGTGGGCCTCCCAGGGTATGGGGACAGTGCAGCTTGTGGATCTGGGCAGATCTAGGGTGTCCTTTGGAGGGTGCAACTCAGGCATGGGTCTTGTTTATGGGAAGTGGAATGCAAGGATGGGCCAGATGCAAGAAACATCCCCGGCTTTGAAAAAGCAGCCTGTGGATTGAGAGTCTGGGCTGCATGTGACCCATCTTAGGCAAGCGAAGGCATTCACTGGCTCATGGAACTGGAAAATTCAGGAGAAACAGGCTTCAGCCACACATGGACCCAGGTGCTGAAATGACGTCGTCAGGACTGTGTCCTCACTTCCAGACCTGCCTGCCTCTGTGCCTGGATGTGCCTCTTGCTGGGAAAGCCAAATGGCTTGTACAAGGCTTCTGCTAAGAGATGATTTTGGGGCTGGTTAAAAAAAAATGTAGCACCCTCAGCCCTCACAAGGAGAGATTTGTAGCAATGTGCAGTGCAATTATATTGGGTTCCAGGTACCTTCTTGTTGAATCTTCCATCCCTGGGTAGTTTGTCCCAGCACGCCTCTGTCCCAGTGATCCATGTGCTAGGATGGACTCTCTTTGTACTTCCTCGAACCCCCTGCTCATCCCTGATTCCATCAGGATGTGGGCTTCTGACATGGACTTGGAGCGAGAGTCGCTCCAGCTGGAAAGAGGCAGGAGGAATGTTTTATCAGGTCCCTGAAGCCAGACAGGGTCCCACGCCTCAGGGCTGGGGTGCTGTGGTGCAGGCTGTACAATCACAGGATTGGTGCAGGGAGTGAGGGCCCACTCCAGTCAGGGGCCCCAGCTGGCCATGGTTGGTCAAGGAGCCTCATGTGGGGAGCAGAGGGAGGTGGAGGGGACTGGGGATGCCAGGGCCAGGGACCACCAGCACAAGTGGCCTGAAGGCCAGAATTGCCATGACTGGGCCCATAGAGGGAGCTTGTTGTGAATCAAGGGCACTTTCTGGCCAAAGGACCTGTTGGATGGCATCTAACCTGTGGGGAGAGACGGTCGGCCTGGGCTGCACACTGGTGAGCACTGCTGGGTCCATGTTGTTGTCCTCAAACCCCTGTTTAGGGGATCACTGAAGCAGACTTGGACCCTCGTTTTTCCTGGTGGCTTGCAGGGGTGGGACTGTGTTGGCATTAGACACCCTCTACAGTGCATTCCCGCAAAAGATGATTTTCTTCTCCTCCTCTTCTCCCGCTGCTCAGATATCCGTGGGCTTCAAAGCTTTCTGGACCAGGCCTCGCGGCTGGGCCTTGATGTCTCATTACAAAAGGTGGACAAGAACATTAGCCATGTATTCACCAGCCTCTTCACCACAATGAAGACGGAGGAGCTGAATCGCTACCGAGACACGCTGCGCCGTGCCATCCTGCTGCTCAGCCCGCAGGGAGCCCACTCCTTCATCAATGAGGTAGGTCATGGGGGCCTGAGGCCTCAGGAACCTGATGCCCAGGGCTCTGCAGAAGATGGCTCAGGTGGACTGCAGGGCGCGGTCCTCTTATGTGTGGCCAAAACGGACGTGGAGACCCGTAGGTACTTGGCCCGCAGCACGCAGCCTTGAAGAAGGGATTATCTGAGCACTACCTGGCTCCTGGCTATTCCCTGACAGGTGACTCAAGGCCTGCTCAGACTCTGAGAAGCTGTGGGGAGGCTGGTGGGAAGCGTGTTTACAAGTCACTGACAGAGATTTCTGAGGCAAGATTCAGGCCTTTTTTTTTTTTTCCCCTTTTTAATTTTCCTCTCTTTTTTGACAGGTATAAGCCTCTAGGGATAAAATAAATTTTGAGCTTTCTGCAGAGATGGGTAGGCCTGCCTTGAGATTTCTTAGCACCTAGAGGAGGTGGCTTTGCCTGTTGTTGAAGGATACATTAGATGTGCTTATTTTTTTGGTGCTTTCGCTGATCAATATGTTTCTTTTAAAAACATCTCTATTAGAGGTTGGGGCCTTCTAATGAAGACAGGGCCCACCAGTTTAAGAAGCCATTGGTGAAGAATCCAGTCACTTGTGAGGGATCCATTAATTTGAGAACAAACTAGAACAACCTATGAGTGGGCTGATTGGCGCCGGCCTGGGTAGTCTAATGGCAGAGAGGTGATGGGCTGGAGTTGGCAGGTCTCCCCCTGGCCTGGGTTGGTTTTGGTGGGAGAGCTGGGGATGTGGTGTGCCTTGGAGTGGATTGAATGGGTCATGGGGTGACCAAGGGCTCCCTGCAGATTCTCCAGACCACCCCAGTCTCTGTGTTGGCCCTCTCTGATTGAAAGTAAAATGGAGAGAAATACAGCATGATACTAATGCCATTTGATGTACTTTGCTTATGCTGCTTTTCCCTCTAATTAATTATTACTCAGAATGCTACCTCATGCATCAGGAGCCAGCCCAAAGCCCACTGCTGGGGAACTTAAAATTTGGAATGCTTAATGTGGTATCATTGGCCGGCAGCCCTGATGCTCTCTGCTAATCAGGCCCCGAATCATGCCAGTGGTCAGCCAGGCCGTGATGTCCCATTGGCTCCCGGCATTTTCACTGGAACATGTTGCCCTGCATGAAGTGATTCAGTCCAGTAATAGGCAGCCTGGGATTAGCAGCACTAACATGTCCGTTCTTTCTCAGAATGTACCCAGCTGTGCGTTTGCAAAAGCCTGTTCAGGGGACGGCTCTTCTTGCAGTCTTTCCCCAGCTGGAGTCTGTACAGGCGATGGTGTCTGCTAATCTCATCACCGGCCCCCTCCCTTCCTGCTCCTTGCCAATTCCTTGCCCCCTCCCCTTGCTTCCTTTCCTCCTCACTCTGCTGTGAAGTTTGGGAGTGGAAAGACTATTGGCTTTGGAGTTGAATGGATTTGGGGGCAAGTCCCAGCTCCCTGACTTACTATTTGTGTGACGGCCGTTTGCATCACCGTCTCAGCCTCCATTTCTTCATCTGTTAAAAGGGATGAAGGAGACAGCTGTGATAAAGCATTTACCATAGAGCTTCTCAAGAAGCATCTGTTTTTTTTTTCATTGCACATATTCATGTGTTTCCCTTTTAGAGGATTTTAGCCCCTTCCCGTTTCTAGCCTGGTGAGGATTTAACACATAACTAAGACTGGCCTAAGAGTGTTATTTCCAGGTGGTTAATTATGCAAACACCTGCAGTGGTGGATATGCTGGGCTTGCTTTGTCCTGCTTGTATTGCTGAGTGCGGTGGGGCTGGGGGTGCCCCTGGAGTGGCCCCTGGATTTTTTTTTATCAGGTTATTATTTTATTTTTAAATTTCAACTTTTATTTTAGATACAGGGGCTACATGTGCAGATTTGTCGCATGGGAATCTTGTGTAATGCTGAGGTTTGGAATGTGGGTCCCCTTACCCAGGTGGTAAACATAGTATCCTATAGGTCGTTCCTAAACCCTCCACCCTCTAGCATGCTTACAGGGTCTTTTGTCCCACAAGCCACTGGGAGTGTTGGCAGGAGATTGAGGGGGAAGGATGGCATTTGGACTTTGGGCCAACAGCTCCCACCATAGTCTTCGGTCTCTGCCGCTAAGAGTCTTGTTCTCTGTTCCCATGTGCCTGCTATTGGGAGGGAGGAAGCTGAGGTTTCCCGGGTGCCCATGATGACTCTGGCCTTTTGTGCATTTTCTAATCCTCACACTTTGCAGACAGAGAAAACTGAAAAGCTAAAGATGTTAAATGACTTACTTAAGATCATACAAATAGCCACTAAGGCATTGAACAGGATTTGAGTCCAGATTTTACTCCCTCCAGAGCCGCTCTTTTCTATCTGCGATGATTCCAGGAACACAGTGGACAGCACTGCACTTGCTGGAGTGGGGAAACAGGGCCGTGCTGACTTCATGGGGAGAGCTTCGGTTCCACTGTCTCTGGCCAGGGTTTGGCAGAGGTTCTTAGGGTGCTTATGCGCAAAGCATTTTAATGTATCTCTTAAGTGTGGTGGGGAAGAAATGTGGATTCTGGAGGTAAACATGTGTTCCTAGGGGACCAGCTAGCCCAGCAGGTCCCCTAGGAACACCTGGGAATGCTGTCCCTGCACAAAGCCTCACTCACCACCTGGAGGCGTGGCTTGGGCTTCTTGAGCAGACTGACCCCACCTCCTCTTTGTTGTTACAAGGACAAACGATGTTCACAAGGGTGACACACTGCCAGAACATGTCCTGAATTTTATGAAGCCCAAGACACAGTTAAGGAGGAGTAAATATCCCCTCAGCACCGCCCCCACCCCACACCCATTCACGTCGATGTTGTGCTCCATCCGGGATGGTGTAGATGAGCTGCAGTTGGCGTGGGCCCTGTGGATTTCCGAGTGGTAAGATCTCCCCTTTGCTACTCAAACAGCCTCATCAAATGGGAGTGAGTGAGGAAGTCAGAGCTGCTTGAATCTTTTACATTTTGCAAAATGTCATTCATCGACTGCAGGTGGCTCCTGGCCTGGGGGCACATGGCACCCCTAGCCTCTCTGTGATTCCACTTCACGAGGGGCTGTGCTGGCGGGGCCTGCAGGTTCTGCGAGCTGGCCTTGGCAGTGAGTGGGTGAGCGGAGGAGTTGTGGCAGGCCAAGGTGCTGAGGCCTGCCTGGGAACACTGTGGGCTTGTGTGTCAGGCCCCACCTAGAGACCCCTCACATCCCTCGCCCAGTCTTTATTCTACTTCCATCCTCTGAGGTCTCCTCATCACCATCTTTATAGCCACCACACCACTGCATCATCTTAAGAAGGTATGGAGAGGTTCGCCTTGGGGAGGATGGGCCTGAGGGTGACAGGACTCAGGTCTCCGGGTCCTGGGCCTGGCACCACCTTGAGGCTACTCTAGGGGCTGCCAAGGGTACAGGCCATGGAGGGTCTCTTCCTCCAGGGGTGTCTGTTCTGCCCTGGGCTTGGCCTTGGAGCCCTCCATGTGAGTGTGGGTGACGCTTTACAGTCATACCCTAACGGGGAGTGGATTGGACTTATTATGTCCTCAGCTGGGCCTTGGCTCTTCTCTGGGCCACTGGCTGCTAAGTGGGGCTTCAGTGCACAATGACAACCAACTCTGATGTCCCTCATGCAAGCCTGTTAGCTGCCTCACCAGCGGGGGATCATGACCCATGGAATTGCTGAAGTGACCAAGGCAGCAGCTGCTAAGAGGCACCTTGCTCTGGAAATCCTGCCGGTGGCTGCTGGAGCTTTCTCTCTTCTGCTCACGGCCCAGCATTTGGAGAAGTGACCGGAAGAGCCATGAGCAGAAGATGTTCAGCATACTGAACCTCAGCCAATGCCAAGTTCTGTATGGGCATGTAGGCTGTTATTCCTGCTCTCACAGGGCTCCCAGCTTGGTGGGGAGGACTGAGGTGTGAACAGACCCTTTTACCTGAAATGGCAGAGGTAGGTCAGGTCTTCTAAGAGCCCGGAGGAAAGAGCAATGCCCTCTGCCCAAGGAGAGATGGGGTCGTCAGAGGGTCAAGAAAAGCTTCCTGGACCAGGTGACTCTAGGGCTGGGTCTGTTAGGAATGAACTTGTACTAACCCTATGGACAGGGAAGGGCTGGGGAGAGGGGTCAGGAGATCCCTAGTGTATTCAGGAACTTGTATGCCTTGCAGTTGCAGTCATGGGTGTGCAGGGGAGCTGAGGCTGGACGTCAGCAGGGAGGGCTCCCTCGTCTGGCACAGGCAATCCAGACTTCAGAACTAGTATATTCTTTGGGTCTTTTTCAGGGCATTAGAGATTAACACCCTACAGTTTACACGCCTTATTGTTCTTGTTCTTCCCCAGGTCAGGCTTGATGGGGAGAACTCCAGTCCACAGTCATTTGGCCCTGGGCTTCATGTCAACTTCCTGGAGGGATTCTGTTCATCTATTCATCTGTCATCCATCTCTCTGTCCATTCCTCCTTTCATCTGTCCATCTACTCATCCATCCATCCAATTATCTACTCACCCAGCAAGTACCAATATGGGGCCTCCTATGGATGAGGAACCCTCTCAAATGCTGAGGAGGGGGCATGGAATTCAGGGGCAGTGCCTCCTCCTCTCTGAGACTGGCTGTGATATGGAAAGCCATGCTACGCACCATGCCACAGTGGCTGGCAGAGCAGCTGTGCCCAGGGCTGTCATCCACTGAGGCCTGTCTCAGTGTCTGTGGGCATTTTGGGGACTCCAGGGCTTTGTCCTCTCACCTCTCATTTATGGGTTCTGTGCCACAGTCTCTTTCCTCCTTTTGTTTCCTCTGGTTTTCCTCCTTTCCCTTCTAGTCTTTTGTATCGCTGGAAAGAGTAGAAAAATTAAATGATTTTAAACAATTTATATACTTTATGGAGAATGAATTGCTGTTCATTGCTTCCAGTTCACAAGGAGACAGGGGCAGCCTGCCCAGGCACCATTCATTTCTGTGTGTCCTGCAAATGTTGGACAATCTGTCCTTCTAACTAGAATGTGCTGTCT